GCACTTGCTGAAGAGTCTGGAACCAGCTTTGAAACTTCACTTTCCCCTGTAACCCCAAATTCAGGCTGTTCCTTCTTTCCAAACATCATTGCTGTTCAAAATTCCGATCACAGTTTGATGTAAATTCATAACAAATAACAACCTTGTTGAGTGAATATGTGATGGTCTTTCCGCCAGACCGCGTTACACGCCTAAGGTCGAAGCGTAAATAAAAGGCAATATGCTCCGGTCCATACAGAGCAAATGCTTCTAGGATTTATTCTCCTAGTGTCAGTAGACTTCATTTTATTAACATCGTCAATGAAGACACACTTTGAACAGAAACACTTCTAATTCCCCCAGCACTGCAACCAAGAAATGAAGACATCAGAAAACCAGTGGTCTTGATTCGTGGCACGATGCGAAGCGCATGGCGTAGAATCGACTCCAATCCTTCAAATATCCTCATTTACGGCCTTCAACTCGGGTTCAAGCAAAACGGGCAGGCTACGAATTTCAAATGTTGTTGCACAATATTACAGGGAGAATACCCCAGTGCATGTGCACGCCCCCTGGCTAACTTATCCAGCAAGTCCAAAATCAAATTAGTGCTCTAGAAGCTGGGCATCCCAGACAGCAGCTGTCATAACGCGCAGAACCGTAGCCGGCTGTGGCCCCAGCACGCGGACTCTCCTTGCAACGTAGCACAGCTACAGGGCCACACCAATGCCTCAGACCCAAATTTCATGAAAACTGGGCAAACAAAATGACAACACCACCCCGCCCGTCTGAAACCGGTCAACCTGTGGGAGGACGAGCAGCAATGTAATGAGGACAGCAGCAACGGAGCGATGGCGCACAGAGGATTGACTGCAGCTCCGGTATAAAAATCGGGGTAAACAGGGGCAACTGAGCCAGAATGAGGTGAGCCACCCCACGTCGGGGGACTGACGTGGGGTGGCTCAAGGGGCAGGAAAGAATAGGCGCAGTGCATACGCGGGGGTGCGGGGAGGGGGAGGGGGGAGGGGGTGCCGGCCACGCAAACGACGCAGTACCGTTGCCCGCATAAAGCACATCAATCAGCCCGAAGGATTAAAATCGTCTCCGAGCCTAGCAGCCAAACAACGGCTTGTCCCTCAGACTCTGGGGAAGTGCACGTTCCAGCATTCCTCCCCAAGGAGATAAGACTGTCGACAAGAAATACAAATCCAACGGACAGGATAAGCTGCTCGCCCCGCGACAACCGGTGGACGCAAACATCAAGTGGCAATGCTTGCGAGTGAATGATAATTCTCATGCGGTCTTCGAAAAGGCAGCTCACGTACAACCGAACAAGTGGCGAGTACTAACTTGTGATGTGCAGCTCAGGACCGAAGGGACTGGTACAGCTAGATATACGGTGATATGGTAGCAGCTCCTTAAGCTTCTACACCAGCATAATGGACTAAAACATTCCTTATCAACTATTAAATTTTAATTTTTACTACCTTGTCTTTTCATTCCTAAGCGTAGTGTTATTTAAAATACATAATAATCCAAAACTGTATAATAATTGCAAATACTTTTATCACTATTATCATTACTATCATTATCACTAATATTTTGCCATACTATTAATCTTGCTATAATTGCACATAATATTTCGATTATTATCATTACTGTTATTGACATTATTATCATTTCGTCATGTTATTAATATTGCAATTTTTACATTTAATTTCTTGGTTACTATTATTATTGTTACTATAGCAGTCAAAACAATTTTTTCGAAAAACTGTAAATTAAAACACAGGGAAAACTCATTTTCTCGGGACAGGATGATCTCCACGTAATGTTTCAGCTAAATTACTTAGAAGAAACGCGAAACTACAGCAGATCAAAGTAACGCATTTAAAAATTTGTTAGCCAGAACAGTAATAATCCACCAGCGCGCAAGCATCGACAGTTTTTTTTTTTTTTTATAATTTCGTTGAGAGTAAAGCGATTTAAACGTACATTCAACTCGGCAACATCCTAATCGCTTTTTAGTCGCGCAGAACTTGACTATTTCTCTCAATTTGAGTAGCACAGGCAGGTCTAATATCACCTTTGTGTTTCTCTGCGTCTCAGCTTGTGGACTCTTCTCATGTATGACTGTTCCATTGTTCGCATTTGCAAACGCTAATACAGTGATGCATGAAAGTTTATAACTAGATATCGATTGGCGCTAGAACGCAGGGACGCCATCACGAGCTCACGAACTAGCCTCCAGTGTTCATATACTAGAGTCATGGTTCACTTTCAAAGACCTGTGTGGGAAAGTATATAATAAGCACTTGGAACACAGAGGAAAGTACATAATAAATAGGGCTCACGTACGGGCACGTGAAAACTATGGCGGGAAAATTCATAACTCGCGAATGAAATAAATGGTGCACGCCAGACTAGCCGGTGCGATCATGCGTTTTGTGCAATTCAGCCCATCGAACGATTGCCTGTTTATGATTTTCATTGCTTTGTACTTTAGTCTTTCAAAAATTGGAAAACAGTTAAAC